TTTGTTCATATTACTTTATATACTCTCGAGTAATTTCATAGTGATTCATATTAGTTAAGATAAGATAAAGTTATTTGAAATGAAAAGTATACGTTTAGATTTGGTTAAGAGTGTAAAAACCTTGACTCATTGTTTTGTCTTAAAATGGATGTGCACTGAATTGTCTGCCTCGAGGTGGTGGTAGCGTATAATGTTTGATATTGATGTGCATTTGTGCATGTGTGACGACAAGAAGAATAACATCGCGTATAGAGAAGAGCGAAGACGAATAAAGATGAAAAAAAAGAGAAAGATTTATGACATGTTTTTTTTGTTTGCAAATTGCAGTCAAGGAAAAAAGGTAACTCGTGACTCGTGTTCATTTTGTAATATAGAAACTTGCATCTAATCCCCATAATAAGTTAATATGGTTTTGTTAACTTATGATGAAGATACAACACAATTCAAATATGCATTGTCACTGAAACTGCTAACATGTCTATTTTCAGGAAAATATCCCTGGCCCTCCCACATGCAGGAAATAAGAGTGATTTGGACAACTGTTCTCAGTTTACTAGTCTTGTTTTTGAAAAGCAGTGACAAGAGGAGTTGGAAAAGTCACAAAATATTCCAGCATTTATCGCAAAATTGATATCACTGCCAACATAAGTGTGAGTGTAAAAGTGTGAGCACTTGTTCGCTTATACTGTCCACAAGTGTGCACACCAAAATAAAACATTGTATAAGTTACATTTTAGACTTTACGAACATTGTGAGCTGTGAAAGCTAAAAATGTGGTCGGCGGGGTGTATTTTGCTTAATTCTGCATTATGAAAAGTATATGTCCAAACCCAGTTCCAATGATGGTGGGGTGCTGTGTTAAATATAAACAGAATATAATGATTTGCAAACCATGTTAATCCTGTATTTGTGTGTATACTTAATACACTGCAAAGACATCATGTTTTTTGTTCAAACTAACAAAACTCTGTTTTTAGCAAATTAATCATTAACCTTTATTAGCATTTTATGGCTGTTCCAAAAAAGCTGGGACAGGATCATGATTACCACTCTCCGACATCACCTTTTAACAACATTAAATAAGCATTTGGGAACTGAGGATACAAATTGTTGAAGCCTTGTAGATGGAATTATTTCCCACCCTTGATGTACAACTTCTGCTGTTAACAGTCTCCATTGTCATATTTTATACTTCATAATGAGCCACGCTTTTTCAATGGGAGACAGGTCTGGACTGCAGGCAGGCCAGTCTAATACCTGCAAACTTTTACTACAAAGCCAAGATGTTCAAACACATGCAGAATGCAATTTGGCATTGTCTTGCTGAAATAAGCAGGGGAGTCCATAAAAAAGACGAAGATGGCACAGTATGTTTCTCCAGAACTCTATGTACCTTTGAGTATTAATGGTGCCTTCTTGGATTTGTAAGTTACCCATGCAACTGGCACTAACACAGTCCCATACCATCACAGATGGATTTTGAATACTGATGCATGATATGAGAAATTTCAACTGATGACGATAACCAATGATTTTCTGCTTTCGTATGGCCAATACAGATAGGATAACTGATGTTGCCGCTCGAGAGACTCAGGAAGGTGGTGTTCTTTTCACCTGTAATTGGCAGCATTTTTACAGTGCCATTTTGTTCATGTCGGCACTGTTGGGACAGTCTGCATTGATGCGGCTGGATGGATGGCAGGTGGAGCTGAGGTTGAGGAGACAGGAGCATCAGCGCAGACCGTGGATGTGTATTTGGGCCTGAGATTCAGTGCTTGGAATTGAGGCAGATCTAAATGGGACAGGGAATTGTTCCAATCTCTACACTACTATTTCTTGTTTCCAATCAAACGTAGTTTGTAGTAGACGTGTAATGTCATGCATGCTGTGATCATGGTGTCTCTGATCCACTGATGAAACATTTTGATTCCGTTTGTTTTATGTTTTGTGTTCTGTTGTATTTTTGTTGTTTTATGTTAAATGTTCTCCAAAGTGCTGTTACAGGTGCAGCTGTTGTCAAAAGTGCTATATGAATAAAGATGTATTGTATCGTAAACAGGCATGCAAATGACCTTTCATCGTGTCCAAAAAACGATTGTGTCAATTTTTTCCTCATCAAACAATTGGTTGATATAGTGTCATGCATATGTGAAGACATTCTTGGGGCCTAAATATCTGAAAATATCACTTGTCATGGCTGTATTTCAATGAGCCCTGCCCGAAGGTATTGCATCAAGTACAGTGGGACACGGTGCAGTTCCATGGTATTTGCTATACATCCATACATTTTCTGAACCACTTATCTTTAATACAGTGAAACTCCTCTAGAACGAAACCTACATGGGCGAAAATACCCCCTAATGTGAAAAAATCTTTATGCAGTAACACCATTCCCATTCTCCTGGCCCCATACGACAAAAAAAACCCTGTTGCGTTATACGAAATCATTTTCTGCTCCAGCCTCTCGAAGACATTCACAACAACGAAGTGTAATCCAACAGCGACCTCTACTGCTTCGTTCGGAAACGGCAACAGCAACCACCACACTGGTTTACATAGTGAACGATGTTTATTTCGGTCACAGCTGCAAGTTTCCTGAACGCAACATACTCATAGCTGCTCTGCCATTGGCTTACCGAGCATCCAATTAGCTGCTCAGAGTAAATTGCTTGTGGCTCGACGGAGAGTCAAATAAACGAACGTTTCCTGGAATGCTTTACTTGTTATCATGCTAAAAACCTTATGC